TGCCATTTTCTTTTTCTTTTTGTTTCCGTTTTGCCTTTCAAATCTATGGAAGAGGATTTCAATCAACCTTTCCTAATATAAAGAAAAAGTTATTCCTATTAAAAAAAAAAAAGAAAAGAAACTGTGACAAATTCTTTTAGAAAATCGCCAACAAAAGGTATCAGTTGGTTTTAAGGCAATGTATTGGTTCCATTACATCTACAATAAAACAGATTTAGTAAGAGAGGGAAAGAGAGAGCATCTCGTACGGCTTTATTTTCATTTACTGCAGATACGTTTAACTTCGGGGCAGAAGCAGCAGTTATCAACAGTGTTACAGAGCGAAGACTTTTTCCCCAGTTTCATTTATATTGAAATATATTTGAAGCATGCAGAGACATTTATTTGCTTGTAAATATTAATATAGAAGAGTTTATATTTTAACTCTTTTATTTCTCAAAACGTATGATTTTATATATAAATGCATAATTAAGTATATAATGATATAAAGAAATATATATTACTATTAAATTTTATATGAGATTTTCTTAGCGTCATTTAGTCTATTAAGTGCCATAAAAGCTACACGCTTGGGCGATATTGTCACTTTCGATTCATGACTAGGCAGAAGACATTCCCGCAGTAGATTTCGGTTTCTTTCTGCCGTATACTGGTTGCCAATCAAGGCTATAGGATCTAGTTTCTCTTGTTATTGAATTCATACCTGGCGCCGGATAGATGGATTTATACCTTTCCCAACCAGCCCGACTGAAATTCGATACATTCACTTAAGTGATTGTTGTTAATTTTAACGCTTCCAAAACTACACTGCTCTTTGCTAATCATTTGAAAGATCCATTTCTGCCTTCCATCAGCATGGCTGATGCTAACCTGCAAAAAAGTGGCTTGTTTCGTCTTCTCGGACAAGCGTTCTCGGCTGACGGGAATTTGAAATGTTATTTTGAACTTATTGGTAGGTCATCTGCAAAGAAAATTGGTTCACTGTATTGTGCTAGACAACATTTTTCTCTCCAGAATCTATCTTACATATTTATATGTCTACTATTCAGCCATGGTTATAATATTGCTATTACAGTGTAACCCGGATATAAGAGACCCGGATATAAGAGAAACCCTGATATAAGAGAGATTTTCTCTGGTCCCAAATTAGAGCCTGTGTTAATGAATATAAAATAGACCAAACCCGGATATAAGAGAAACCCGGATATAAGAGACTTCTTCTTCGGCAACTCTCTTATATCCGGGTTACACTGTATATATATATATATATATATATATATATATATATATATATATACAGAGAGAGAGAGAGAGAGAGAGAGAGAGAGAGAGATAGAGAGAGAGAGCTTTGAACAAACTGTGATTGATATATATCGGATTGAGAAAAGTAAAGACGATAACAGATCAAAATAGGTATTGAAATTTATATATATATATATATATATATATATATATATATAGTGTAACCCGGATATAAGAGACCCTGATATAAGAGAAACCCGGATATAAGAGAGATTTTATCTGGTCCCAAATTAGAGCCTGTGTTAATGTATATAAAATAGACCAAACCCGGATATAAGAGTAACCCGGATATTAGAGACTTTTTCTCCGGTTCCGACAACTCTCTTATATCCAGGTTACACTGTACATATAATTCGGTGCTCCTGCTATATATCTAGAGATCCTTGATAAAATAAAAAGAAGAAACAGCAATATTATTCGTCCTTATCTGGCGTCTCGGCTTCAAATTCTTCAAATTGGTATGTCTTCCCTGTGTCTTTTCTATAACCATCTTGATAGTAATTTTTCGGATGAGCTTTCCGTAGTTGGATTGCTACTTTTCAGACAAATTCAAGACTCACCACACGCAAGACGAGATTTTGTCCACTACTGTTTGGAACTTTCTTATTTTTTGTGTTTGAAGAACTGTTAAGTTTACGCTAAGTTTAATCTTTAATTTTTCTTACGTTTTTTTTTTCTTACCTACCCGGTTTGAGCACTGCCTAATTTGACGCATATTTGGCCTGTTTCCCCGCCTAGAGGCAGCTGAAGCGGTTGGGTGTTAGGGTCCTATCACAGAGTCGGGAATCTGAGAAGCGATGAAGCTGGTTGGCCGGGACAAATCTCCGGGATTAGATGGTCTACCCTACGAACTGTACTTGATACATTCATCCGTCCTTGTTCCTTTGCTGGCACTGATTTACAACAACTGGATGAAGCAGGGGTTTACACCACAACGCTTTACCAGAGTTATCATCAAGTTAGAACACAAGGACAAGATGTTACGGTTTTTTGCGTATATAATACATATAACTAGTGAGCGAGTCAGAATGACTTATTTCCCTTTATAGTCTACCAACAGAAGATTAACCAATCAGGAGCCGCACAACACTGTATCCGTCGTGTATAAAGGCGGCCATCTTTGTTTTCCCACCGTAAGGACCAGAGGCAACTTGTCCGGCGAACATGACAGACGGAAGAACTACGCTCTGCTACTTTGCTGCGATATCCACTGCGAACCTGCACTACGCTCTGCTACTGTCTCCGAAATATTCACTGCCAACCTCTGGATTCTATACTCGAAGACAACCGTCATGAAAATGTCTAACACAAGAATGGTGGTGAAGGGATATTGTTATGGAGTGGTTTCACATTGGTCCTAAAATAGGTTCGACGTACAAAACGTTAGGAACTTGATATAATTGGTAATGACACAGAGAAATCTAGTTGTGGTCGCTGATACTTTAGTATCCGACTAACGGTCGTCCGGCATCGACTGACTGACCCCCTGAGCGACCCTCTTGTTACTCTTATTTATTATAGGTGGGAGAGTCTATTAACTATAGCATAGGTGTGTTCCACTATAACAGATATGTAACTTTCAGAGTTAACGAGTTTAGCCAAGATTTTAGTCAGCCATTTGCAGGCTGTTCTCTCTAGACTACGAACAGACGTGCTATAAAAAGCAGGACTATTCAGGACAACCTTCATATGACACGCAAGTCGAAAGTGAAATCACGCTGATCAATTTAGATCAGTCCAAGGCCATTTCTGGAAGCTGTCCTTTCGGCAGCCGTTTTTGGACGTACTTTCACCCCTGGGTCCGACTTCTGTATGCGTCTTCCGTTGCGCTGGTGGAAGTGAATGGCGTTCTATCGTCTTTCGTATTGTCTAGCTTCATCCGTCAAGGTTGTTCGCTTGCGCCTTTGCTGTATGTTCTTACGTTGGAGCCTTTCCTTTGCAAGTAAAGACGAATCTGGTATTACCTGGTGCTACCACCTCGGCTAAGGCACGCCACCTATGCTGACGACGTTTCACTTCTTGTGTCGAGCGGAGAAGAGATTGACGAAGTCAGCAAAGTATTCAGAGGATACGATAACGCGATGGGAACCAAGATCAACTGCTATAAGTCTGCTGATTTCCGGTTGGGTGCATAGAAAAAAAGTTTTTTTTCCCCGGACGGACGGGCCAGTCAAAATTATCGGCGTCTGGTTCGATCCCGATATCTTCTTGGAAATGAATTGGTCCTAAGTGCGAGAGAAGGCCGAGGTCGCAGTTCGTCTGTGGTCGCTGAGAAATCGTTCCCTAAAGGGATAACAGAAGTATATGCTTCGCATATTTATGCAATTCTCCTTTAATGGCTCTCCGTATAGCTACTTCCGTCTGCCACACTCATATCATTAGTAATCCTCTTTTTTCCCTACTGTGTATCGAGCACTGTTTCTTAAAAATAAATGTAAAAGAACTTATAAATCTGACTGTTCTTTCTTTTTATTTTGATATATGCTCTGTTATAATAAATACATTGAGCTCCCTCTAGTTCAGTTTTAATATTTGCTATTATTAGCATCCACCAACGGATCTCTCTCTCTCTCTCCCTCTCTTTCTCTCTCTCTGTTGTAGAGTAGTTTCACAGTGGAGGCTTGTATTTGTACTAAGTCGGTCCTAAAATAGGTTCGACGTACAAAACGTTAGGAACTTGATATAATAGGTAATGACGCAGAGAAATCTAGTTGTGGTCGCTGATACTTTAGTATCCGACTAACTGTCGTCCGACATCGACTGACTGAGCAACTATTCAGCGACTCCTC